GGGGGTGGGTCGGCCGTCACCATCTTTGTTTGGGGCATTAGGATGCCCCTGACTGCCTTCACGGCGAGGGCGGAAATCCCGCCCTATTCGGTACTATACGTGCGGGGCGGTCCGAGCGCACCCACCCGTGCGGGTCCCCGCTAGCGCACGCTCCGTCAGCCTTGGGAGCTAAGTGGGAGGGAGGAAGAGGAACGGTAGTCACGTGGTTTTAGGGACCGTCTCCTAATTCTGCTCCAGCACTGCTTGTGTTTCAGGGACTCTGGTCAGATATGTTCTCCCCACCCCCACGGGGCCCAGTACTGCCTAACCGCTGACCTTCTGTTACACACGGTCTTATAAGGCCACAGTCTGGAAACGGTAGGGAGTTGGTATTCACTTTCCTGATTTTTATTTGATGATGACAAAAGCTAAAAGTACCGTGCAGAAACCCTGCTCTTAAATAAGCCGGCTGGAAGCCTGGCGTAGTGACCACAGCCTTTAATCTCAGCAGGCAGAAGCAGAACGATCTCTGTGAGTTCAAGGCCAGCCTGGTCTATATAGCGAGTTCCAGGCTAGCCAGGACTACATACTGAAAGAGACCCTGTCAAAAATAAGTAAATAATAAATAAATAAATAAATAAATAAATAAATAATAAAACCCCAAACCCAGACAGGGTCTCACTATGTAGCCCTGGCCAGCCTGAAACTCACTATGAAGATAGGCTGGCCTTGTAAGCCACCATTCCCAGATAATGCAAAGATTTCAGAAAATATATACATACACTTACACCTACAAGAGAGGTTGGTGGAAATCAGCACCCAGTAAATACTGTTTACTTCTATTTACTTTTAAAGATTTTATTTTATTTTTTGGTATTTTTGAGACAGGGTCTCCCTGTAGCCCCAGTTCTCCTGGAACTCACTATGTGGACCAGGCTGACCTTGAACTCACAGAGATCTGCCTGCCTCTGGGATTAAAGGCGTGCGCCACCACACCCAGCCAAGGTTTTATTTTTAATTATGTGTTTGTGTGTGTGTCTGTGTGAGTTTACACCATAAGTGTTGTGTGCCTGCAGAGGCCATAGAAGAGTGTTAGATTCCCTGGAGCTGGAGTTACAGGTGGTTGTGAGTTGGTTTTATGTGGGTGCTGAGAACCCAACTCAGGTCCCCTGAAAGAGCAGTAAATGCTCTTAACCCAGGAGGCATCTCTTGTCCTCTTCATTTTATTTTTATTTTTACAGATGTGGGAATTGTGGTTGGGGCAGGGGCTAATATCTAATTGGTGGTACACCTGGGATTTGTCTGCAGGGGCCTACCTTTGCTGGGCTGATATCCCAGAAGTCAGAGTTTTTTAGGGAAGTGCACCAGGTGATTTTCCCAGGTAGGGGAAGGGCTCACCTTGTTGTAACCACTAACCCCTAAGGTCTTTCCTAGTCTCATTTCCCTGGAGTTTTGTATCAAAGACAAAGTTTTGTCTTCTTGCCTTCATTCATTCATTCATTCATTCATTCATTCAATGTCTGGCCCCCAGGAAGCTCAGTCTGGGAGCCTACTAATCTGGTTAGCAACTCATGTACCATAGGTAAATATGTTCTGCTCACAAGGGACCCTGAAAGTCCTGGCACCCACTTCTTCAGGACACTCACCACTGACTCCACATTCCCTCATTTACTGAGTCCACTTTAAGAGCTGGAATCTGAAGCCACCCTGTCCAGATTCAAATCGCAGCTTTTCTGCTTAACAGCAATGTGACCCAGGAAAGTGCCCCATTTCCGTGTGACTCTTTATTCTTCAAGTTAGGCCCCCATGCTGGTACCAGGGTTTGAAGAAGCATGCCTCTGGGCTGGTAGTCGACTCAGTAAATGGCTTCTAATAATCCTTCTGAATAGTGAAAGCGAACATGTCTCCCATTTTCATGACCTGAAGTGCAAAGTACACTTTTGCCAGAAGTCCCACACCTAGGAAGTGTACCACTCTCCGATTGAAATCCTGGCCACTTTACCCCCAAATCTATAATCAATAATCAGGTCTGGGAGAGTTTTGCATTAACCGCTCAGAAAAACAAAAGACAACCGTTCCGCCAGCCCACCCGCCCACCCATTGATCTGCAAAATCCAAGCCTAGGAGAGGGGCTTGGGTGTGAGCGGCAATTTGCAGACACTCCCTGCGGTGGAGATTGCTCGACCTGTCCTTCAGTCCCAGCCTTCTGTCGGTCCGCTGGAGGTGGCTCCGCTCGGGTCCTGGTGGAGTCGGAGGTGGCTGTGAGGCTGTAACAGTCTCAGTGACTCGGACCCTGAGTGATGTCGGAGCCGGAGCCGCAGCCGCGGGGCGTGGAGCATGACCTCTACCGGGACACGTGGGTTCGATACCTGGGTGAGCATGGGAGTTGCAGACGCGACGACCCTACCACTCCAGGACTGGGAAGCTAGGGTTGCCGGATGCTGATCTGGAGCCTGGAGGAAGGTTCTTAGGTCTTATTCAGCGTGGGCTGGAGACTCGGCTCAGAGTGGGCAAGGGACTTGCCCAAGGTCACACAACACTGGTGGGTTCAGCTCTGTTCTCAGGGCTCTGCTGGCCCAAGACGGAGACTTGAGCGGGCTAAGCGAGTTGCCCTCTGTCATGACCATGCACTAGCCGTGGGGTCAGAGAATCTGGACCCCTATCCCGGCCCTGACACTCTCTGGCCCTTCATGGGTCTCAGTTTCCTGTTCTATAAAAAAGACCTTCCCGTTGGGTGCTGGTTGTAGGAATGGAATGAGATAAGGCCCCTGAAAGGTCTCGGCACTTGATAAGTGTTGGATCAGTGGAACCCAGGACCAGCCATTCTCTGGCAGCCTGTCACCTCATTAGTGCAGACTCCCAAAACCACGCTGGGAACTCTAACCATTGAACGATGGGCGTGGTGCCTCTGTACTCAGCCCTCCAAGGTGGACTGCATCATAGGCGCCAGTGCACAGCCCAGAAACCTAAGGTAAAACCCCTTGACTGAGGTCACCCACCCAACTGCAGGTTAGCAGGCTAGGCTTAGAAGCAGTGCTGTCTAGTGCCCCCTTGTGGAACAGCCCTGGGCCTGAGAATTAAATGCCTTCTCCCTCCAGGCTATGCCAACGAGGTGGGGGAAGCTTTCCGCTCCATGGTGCCTGCAGCTGTGGTGTGGCTGAGCTATGGTGTGTCCAGCTCCTACGTGCTGGCCGACGCTATTGACAAAGGCAAGAAGGCGGGAAAGGTGAGTGTTAGCCTACCCTCCCAATTCCACCCTAGAGGTCTCTCCGTGTTGTAAAGTCCCCGTGGGACAGTCCGGTCGCCATAGCATCTCATGGTGCAGTCCATATTCTGGTCCTGTTTGTAGGGTAGCTAGTTCACCTCCCTCGGACTCCCACCATCATATATGGAGGTAACAGCCCGTACTTCACTCATGGGTGTGGACAAGTCCACCCCCAGCTCTGACTGTGGTACAGTCCATAGCTGCCTCCTGCTCTTCTTCCCTTGCGCCCCCTCCCCCTTCCCCTCATCTTCCTCCCGTGGTCCGCCCACATGTTCCAGTCGACAGGTTTCCTGTCTCTAAATGTTTCTGTATCCACCAGGTGCCAAGCCATGAAGCAGGTCGAAGCACCAGGGTGACTGTGGCCGTGGTAGACACCTTTGTGTGGCAGGCTCTGGCCTCTGTGGCCATCCCAGGCTTCACTATCAACCGCTTGTGTGCTGCTTCTCTCTATGTCCTGGGCACTGCCACCCGCTGGCCCCTGTCTGTCCGCAAGTGGACCACCACCACACTTGGGTTGCTGGCCATCCCCTTCATCGTCCACCCCATTGACAGGTGGGTGCCCTCTCGGCCTCAGGGACTAGCCATTCTGTAGGTAGATTTGGGCTGAGAAATGTGGGGACAGAACCCTGGCAACAGAGGCAGGACTGAAGCAGATAGGGCAGTCTGTGCCCTCGTCATATAATGTGGCAGGTACTTTGGCAATAAAGGAAGAAGAGTGTCTTTAGGGTGTGGGACCGAGGACAAGTGAGCTCCCAGAAGGAGAGTGTTGCAAAATAGCTAGTGCCAGGCATGCCCTGGAGTAGTGGATTTGAAGGAGGTATTGGTGACAGAAGTCAAACTCAAAACTAAATTTGTTAAGGAGAAATAAAAGTCCAGGGTAGATTGTTTCGGATGTGATTGGATCTAGGCATCCAAGTGATGCCACTAGGGATCTGGGTCTCCCCACCCTTCAGCTCCCCTCTCCATCCCTCCCCTCTCCTGTTGGCCTCATTTACTTTCCCCTCATGGGAGCAGAGGTGGCCCCCTGCACCTTACAGCTTTCTGTTCTAACAGTTTAACAAGCCACACCAGAAGTTTTTCCACAGTGATAGCAAAAGTCCCAAGGAAGGTGCTCATTGGTCTGTCTAGACTGGATGCCCACCTCTGACCCACCTTCTCTTTCCTGATTAGCCAGGCTTGGGTCATGTGCTCACACTTAGAACTGGAGGTGGGTGTCAACCAAAGGAGACCCATACACAGTATGAGGAGGGGTCTTTCCACAGGAGCATAACTGACCCTGAGCCTCACAGCGATCCTTGACCCATTGTGCCTCAGTTTCCTCAACTGCATAAAGAAAAAGAAGGTGGCTGTTATTCTAGGGGATCTAGGTATAGCCCAGGTGGAGGAGTATGATAATGTAGGTCTCCACCTGGATGCCATTTGTACCCTGTATCAAGTAACCTTAGCCTAGGTCCTGTCTACCCTCATCCTTGGTCACCTGCTCATCACCCCTAACCTTCCTGTAGGTCGGTAGACTTCCTCCTGGACTCCAGCCTGCGTAAGCTCTACCCATCAATGGGGAAGCCCAGTTCCTCCTGACTCTGCCCTGCTACCTGGCCTGTGGGTTGGTCCACTCACATAAGGGACTGTGGCTCCTTGACTGTCTATGGCCCTGGCATCTGGGTGGGTTGAAGCTGAAAGAAGCTTAGAGTCAAAGGCCTCAAGGAGCAGCTGCTGCAGTGAGTCCCAGAGGTGGGACCCAACCCTCTCTGCATCAGTGGCAACTGTTGTACAGAATGGGAGAAGATCCTGGCTTAAACCTGTCTTTGGATGGGACAGTTACATCCTCCCATGGAGCATAAGGATATTGAGGCCCAGAGAGGGCAAGGAATATACCTAAGATCACATGGCAAGCTGAGTACCAGGATGTCCAGCTGCTCAGCTAAGTTACTTTGTGGCAGTGTGGCTCAAGGATTCAGGGAGAAACACAGAAGCACAGCATTTGGGACAACTCAGGGCAGATTCTCCAGCCAGCCCATCCCTGCTGCAGGAGCTGCTGGGGCTTGACTGGAAGGTAGGACAGCCGTGAACTAAGTGCTGGTCCAATAAACCTTTAAGAAGTTGCATTTTCTTCTTCTTTTAAGGGGACGTGGTGGCAGCAGCAGGTCTTCCTGAGTGGGTAGACTGAAGGAGGAGTGGGCTCTTACCAAGGAGATGTTTCCTGGCCCTGTAGGAAGGAGTGTGGGAAGAGAAAGGGAGGAGATGACCCCATCCCATTCAAAAGGAATACTAGACCCAAGGAACCAGAAAGAGAAGAGCTGAAATGAAGGGTTAGGTGGGGAGATGAGGAGGGTGTTACATGGGGGGGGCAGTATGGCATCAGCCGGGACAAGGGGCCCTGAGAGCTCTGGCAAGGAGCCTGTACCTTGTGTTAGACTGTTTAAGAAGTGGTTGGAGCTGGGTATGGTGGTGTATGCTTTTAATCCCAGCACTCAGGAGGCAAAGGCAGTTGGATCTCAGTGAGATCAAGGCTAGCCTGGTCTACATAGTGACTTCAGGGAGACCCTGTCTCAAAAAAGCCAGAAAAAATGTGGTTGGAAAATGTTGAACAGGGTGAGGAAAAGAGTACTTTATTCACTGCTGATTGGAGTACTAACTAGTATAGCCATTATGGAAATCAGTGTGGAGGTTTCTCAAAAACTTAAAAATACAACTACCCTAACCCTGCTATACCATGCCTAGGCCTATACCCAAAGGACTCCATATGCTACCCTAGAGATACTTACACATCCATGTTTGTTCACAGTAGCAAGAAATGGAACCAGCCTAAATGTCCATCAACAGATGACTAGATAATGAAAATGTGGTACATATACACAATGGCATTTTATTTAGCTGTAAAGAAAAATGAAATCATGACTTTTTCAGGGAAATGGATAGATCTGGGAAGAATAATATTAAGCAAGGTGACTCAAACTCAGACAAAAACCTCATATTCTCCTTCCTATGCAGATCCTGGACTATAATGGTATCTGTGTATATATGCAACCAGATATAAGTGTGGATAAAGCCTAAAAACTAGAAAGGAGACCAAGAGATGATAATAGTAGGTGATGAGGGAGCTGGAGAGATGGATCCACAGTAAAGAATATTTGCTATTCTCCAACAGAGCTGAGTTCATTTCCTGGCACCCACATTGGGTGACTCACAGCCACCTGTAACTCCAGCTCCAGGAGATCTATTGCCCTCTTCTGGCCTCTGTGGTCTCCTGCACCCATAGACACACATATACACATGAAGTTTTTAGGAATGATAAATGTTTGGGGCTGGAGAGATGGCTCAGTGGTTAAGAACACCGGTTGTTCTTGCAGAAGACCTGGGTTTGAATCCCAGCACCCACATGGCAGCTAACAACTGTCCATAATTCCAGTCCCAGGGGATCTGACAGCCTCTCCTGACCTCCTCTGGCATTGCATGACATGGGTGCACTTACCTACGTGCAGGCAATACACAAGTACACATAAAATAAAAATAATAAAGTTTAAAAAAAGAACAAAGTTTCAAGAACAGCATTTAAAGCAGTAAGTGGTGAGGAAATATGGAGGTGGTGCAAAGGACACAGGAGAAGAAAAGAGCCTGGGGAGGAGCTACAAGAGGAGATCAGGGCGCAGTGGTATGGAGGGCAGGGGAGAATCACTAAAACATACTCTCCAGAAATGTCATGGAATTTAACACCTTAGATGCTAATTTAAAAACAAGTTGTGAGACTGGAGAGATGGCCCAGTAGTTAAGAGCACTGGCTGTTCTTGTAGAGGACCAGGGTTCAGTTCCCAGCACCCACATGGTGATTAACAACTATAACTCCAGTTCCAGGGGGTCCAACACCCTCTTTTGACCTCTGCCAGCATTGCATGACACAGGTGTACTTACATATATTCAGGCAATACATTCATACACAACAAAATTAAAAATAAACTATTTTAATAAAAAAAACAAAAATTTAAAAAGGAAGTCAGAGAAAAGCTTGAAGAGAGGTGTTTTACTTTGTTTTTCATTACTATGACAAAATACAAAAGACTAGGTAATTAAGAATAAAGGTTTATTCTAGCTCATGGTTCTAGAAGCTGGGAAATCCCAGAGGAAAGCGCAGAAGTGGCAGAAGGACTGGACTGTCCTGGCTAACCCAGCATGGGTGAGTAGTCAATCCATTCCTGAGAGCTACTCCCCCCAGGTCTCACCCCAACACTGTTACATTGAGGACTTGAGGGTCCAACAACTGAACTTTGCGGGGCACATAAACCATACCGAGGAGTAAGCCTGGGCCCACACACTGCATACTGAGCAACAGTCAGAGAGGTAGTAAGAAATCCTGACAGAGGGCTCTAGGCAGGAAGGGGTCACAGCCCAGGTGGGCTTTCAGATCTCTCTACCTGGCTGCTCTGGGAAACAGAAGAGCAGACCAGGTCTGAGTCTTACCTGTGACTTTCTGCTGTAAGGCCTTGGTCAGCTTACTTTCCTTCCCTAATTCTTAGAATTTAGATCTGGAAAGGCAAACTATGTTCTCTACCCACCTTCTGCGTTAGCAAGAGGGCCACACCAGTAGGGTGCTGGTCAATGTTTAAGCATTGACATCTCTAAGATATGAGGACTCTGGCTTGTCCATTTCCATAGTGAAAATGTTCCTACCCTGGCCTCTTTCAAGCTACCCACATGAAGTCCCTGAACATAGCTGGAAAGTGGCATACAACAGCGTACTGAATTGGTCATTGGCAGGCACCTAGAGGTGCACCCTTGTCTAAGAACAACTCAAACCACAGATGCTATCAGACCCTCTACACTGTGTCTGATCCTGAAATGTGGTCTGTGTTCAAGTTTATAAATTAGGAACAGGAAGAGGTTAACTACAATAACTGTAATGACAAACTACAACAGGGGCTGGAGAGATGGCTCAGCGGTTAAGAGCTCTGGTTGTTCTTGCAGAAGACCGGGGTTCTCTTCTCAGCACCCACACAGTGGCGGACAACTGTCTGTAACTTCAGTTTCAGGGGATCCAGCGCCCTCTTCTGATCTCTGTGGGCATTGCAGGACACAGGTACACTTACATACATGTAGGTGATATACTCATACACATAAAATTAAAAAATAATAAATAATGGGGCTGGAGAGGTGGCTCTGCAGTTAAGAGCACTGTTTGCTCTTGCAGAGGACCCAGTTTCAGTTCCAAGCACCCACATGGTGGCTAACAACCATATGTAACTCCAGTTCCAAGGGGATCTGACAGACCCTTCTGATCTCTGCAAGCATTGCACCACACAGGTGCACCTACCCTCTGCACCTACACTTATACACAAAATTAAAATAAATAAAATAGGGGTTGGGGATTTAGCTCAGTGGTAGAGTGCTTGCCTAGCAAGCACAAGGCCCTGGGTTCAGTCCTCAGCTCTGAAAAAAAAAAAAAGACAAAATAAATAAAATAATAAAATGTTTAAAAATATACTAGAACAACTGTAATGGTATACTATAATAAGAGTATTCAGAACTTGTGAACTGGTTATTTCTGGAAATTTCCATTTAATACTTTTAGACCACTGCTGATCCATAACTACCACATGGAAAGGAAAACCACCAATAAGAGCTGACTACTGCCGAAAGCAACAATCTCAATGGGTATCGGGAAGGCTGCTCAGTGGGTAAGAGCACTTGCTGCTCAGTCGTGAACACCTGAGTTTGCATCCCCAGAACCCATGTAAAAAGTTGAGTATGGGGGCTGGAGAGATGGCTTAGTGGTTAAGAACACTGGCTATTCTTGCAGAAGACCGGGGTTTGAATCCCAGCATCCACGTGGCAGCTAACAACTGTCCATAACTCCAGTTCTAGGGGATCCAACAGCCTCTTCTGTCCTCCGCGGGCATTGCATGATACGGGTGCACTTACCTACATGCAGGCAATACATGCATACACATAAAATGAAAATAATTTAAAAAGAAAGTTGAATGTGGCCGAGTATGTCTGTAATTCCAGGCATTTGAGGGATGGAGGCAGAGACAGGAGGATCTCTGGGGCTTAGCCAGAGGCACAGGGGGAAGAGGGGGAGGGGGAACAGGAACAAAATAGAAAGCAAAAGAAAAAAAAGAGAGAACCCTAACAATGTAGGTGATAGTGTAGTAAAATAATTAGGAAGCATTAACTTTTTGTGTATTTACTATCTTTTTATTTATTTTTTTTTTAACTTTTATTTTTTATGTGTATGAGTGTATTGCCTGCATGTATGTGAGTGCACCTGTGTCATGTAATGCCCCGGAGGTCAGAAGAGGGCTTCAGATTCCCCTGGAACTGGAGTTAAGGACAGTTCGCAGCCGCCATGTGGGTGCTGGGAATTGAACCCCAGTCCTCTGCAAGAGCAGTCAAAACTTGAAATTGCTGAGCCATCTCTCCAACCCCATATTTACTATCTTTTAAAAATATAATGTAGCTGGGTGTGGTAAACATGACTTTAATCCCAGCACTTGGGAGACAGATGCAGGTGGATCTCTATGAGTTCAAGGTCAGCTTGGTCTACATAGTTCCAGGTCAGCTGGGGCTACAGGGAGACCCTGTCTAAAAAAAAATGTATATAATGTATTGAAATGTTTATATTTTTTGGGACTGAAGAGATGGCTCAGTGGTTAAGAGCACTGACTGCTCTTGCAGAGGACCTGGGTTCAATTCCCAGCACCCACATGGCAGCTAACAACTGTAACTCCTGTTCTAGGGGATCCAATACTCTCTTATGACCTCTGAGAACCAGGTGTGGAACTCATCAAGTATTTTTTATCCTCCCTCGCAAGCCCAAAAGTCTCACTGAACATTATCTCCTGTAGTCTTTGTTATTATTTATAATTTCAGGGACCGGAGAGATGGCTCAGTGGTTAAAAGCACTGGCTTCTCTTGCAGAGGGCCTGGGTTCAATTCCCAGCACCTACGTGGCAGCTAACAACCGTGTGTAACTCCAGTTCCAGGGGATCTGACTTCTCGGGTATTGCATGACATGGATGCACTTACACACATGCAGGCAATACACTCATACACTAAAAATAGTAAATTAAAACATTAAAAATTAAATGTTTATATTATTTTATATGAAT